CCTTTATTTTTCTTTCAATAAGAAACGTATAATGTATTACTATTAGGTGTTGGAATTAATTCGTAGCGTTTTACATGAAAGAATGTTATTTATTTCACATGAGCATTAAAAAATACATTAATGAAAGTACTTCCCATCACTTGTAAAACGCTACGAATTAATTCCAACACCTAATATATTGAAGAAATTTTTATTTTCAGATTAAGATTGGAGATCCTCGTTCTCTCTTCCTTTTCTATTTCGTTTAATAATGGGATTATTATTATCTGGCTAACGCCGCACTCTTCTTACAATCCGATTTACAACTGTGATGGTACCTACAAAGCGGCGGTGCTGTTGAAATGAGGAACATTTCTGTCGTAAAGAAAGAAAGAAAGAAAGAAAGAAAGAAAGAAAGGGGATCCTTCTCGCATTTATTTCGCGACTGGGTCGCACACTTTTCCAAAACTTTTCCATTCGTTTCTTCGCGTTCTCGTTTTTGCGAAACGGCGCAGTTCGCCGATTCATCGGTAAAAAATAAGCGCGAGAACGAAAAAGTTCGACCGACGATGCGGGAGATGCTTCATTTTATTAAAAAATTTTATTTTTATTCCCGTCGCGGAGCCAGGCCATCCATGGCTGTACCGGCGGTTAATACCGGAAGCGAGGTTTAATGGAATTACAACGTGTTTTATATGCGCGCCAGCATTTTCGCACGAGAAATTCTCGCAGAACGGACGAAAAGCGCACAAAAGGGAGAGCTGGACGGTTGGGGGCGGAATTTCACACGCCACCGCGTAACGTGTTTGCGTAATATTTGCATGATATATTTTCGATACGCCGGCTCGTCGCGAGATCCTATAAGTTTTATGCAAAGCAAGCCACTATTGTCCACCGTGCTCGATAAATAAACCGGCGGGCTTCTACGAAGAAATCGGGTCTTGTAGAGATACGATGGGAGAACGTCTATTTTCACGTATCTCGCGTCATGTCTAAAGATGTGCTGACCTGATATACCGAAATATCGAGGAAAATCATATTATATGCTCTCGAGTTCGCCGAAAACCGGTGTGAAAATAGGGTGAAATTGTGGACTTCTTCGCAGCAACTATTCCGCAAAACTCAATTACACCTTTGTCCCAAGTAGTCTATGTATACGCAAATGAGCAAGCATCCGACGGTGCGGTAAGCATACGAGCGTGAGTAAACGGACGTGGTTGCTACAAGACGAAGCTACCTATTTTCTACATTGTTGAATTCCTTGCGTAAACACTGTCTAAACACATGCACTGAGCAATTAATAAAATTAGTATAGCCGAGAGAAAAAACCTTTTATTATTGTTTTAATTCCATTCTATACAATTCATTTTTTTTTTCTATTATTCTACCATTTGCTGCAATTAAGGTCGTATTCCGATATACATTGCAAGCACTGAAAGTTTAATCACTGAAGGATGGTTTTGCTGAAATATCTAAAAAAATTAACTTTTAGATGTAGATCTAAAAATAATTTTACTGGATCATCACAACATACACACACAACACACAAAATATTTTATGTAGAACGTTTGAATTGATGGAATGTTAAAACACAGTTCTAAAAGTCCATTTATATAGGACTTCGACAAAGCTACAAACATTAAAATTATTATGCAAAAGATATTTCATATATATTTATCTCTATTTTTAGCTTTTATCTCTCGTGCTACATTTTCGTTTTTATTAAACTTATCTTCTCTCTATTTTCTCACGTACGTGTGATCTACAGTGATGAACTGTGCCGCACCATTCATTTGTAAAACCAAAGAAGAAACAATTTCCGGCAGCAAAATAATACGATAGGATATGCGTTTGAATTTTAAAAAATCTCGTTTTATCTTAGATATTTTTTTTTCCATTTGATTGGGATATATTATATCGTTTGCGCAACAATATTTTCGCAGAAACTTTGCATTTAAATTTCAATTAATTTCTCGTCGAATCAGAAATTTATTCTTATAAACAGAGAAATCGGAAATAGAAAAAACAAATTTTCTAAATGTAATGCATGTTGTGCAGTGTAAATTAAAATCTAGAAGCTCAGATGTTAAAATCTTTCATTCTGATTAAACAAACTTTTATTTCAAAGAGCGTAATATACAAACTAGATTTTTATATCAAATAGAAAATATTTTGAAAAATTTTAATTAAAACAGCACGTTTTTAATTAAACATAAAAATGCAAGATTTGCATTTACCACGCTTATAATCTATCCACGATTATAATCTAAACGCCCACGTGAAATATATTACAGATTTACCATTGCGCAAAATGGCTTTTATTTTAGTAAAGTAAAATTCAATCCAAATTCAATGAAATTTACGTGAATTTTTAGATTCCACGATTTTAGGCACGCAGCGTTCTGCAATCAAGTGTTTTACGTGCCTGTTTCATTATTATCTCTTCGAAGGCGAGTCGTTATTACAGAGGTCCACCAATTGCTCGTTTCCACTTTTATCACGTTACATCGGTGCGTGCTTCGCCGTAAAAATGCTCTGACAAAAATCGGGGTTAAATCCGACGCGAGAAATGCATGCTCACGCTGGGACAATCGAGTAACCGCATCCCGCTTACGGGTCATCCCCGACGCGATGCCAGCTGACCTACCCCGTTGGTAATCGGTAGCCGGGGTGAGAGGAGCAAGGGCGAAGGGCGAGTAATTCGCCACCTTCCGTTTCATTACTGCTTTACGAGAGATACAGCCGCATGGCACGCAATCGCACGATCAATCTCGCCGCTATATTTGCGTCCATCAGAGCCACGGACGGTGAACGTATGCGAAATCGCGACCCATTACGCGCAATAGATCATTAATGCGTTGTTGCAACGTCGCTGGACCGATCGCGGAATGCAGCATCCTGAGAGAAAGATGGTTGAAAATGAACGAACCATTAGAATATGATATATCAATCAGAATTTTAGTCATCATGATTAAACATTTAATTATCTTGACTAGAATTTTGGTTAATATGATTACACTGAAAAAATACTAAATTTTAATAAATATTTTGAGTTTGAATAATTTTAAGTAAATATTTACTTAGTACATACCTAAAGAGATATGTATTAAGATTTAGTAAATTTTCTTCAGTGTAGAATCTATCGGTACGTTCATTTTTAATAAAATTTTTTTAATGTATGTAAAAATTAGGGAAGCAGAAAATTATCAATACATTGCATTTGTAGTACTTAAATAGCTCTTGCACTTAGCATACTCTATATTTGATTAGAAATACATTATTTTATCTGTTTATTGAGATAGTAATGAATAATTGTCGATTCTTTTGATACACCGCGATACTGAGATACCGATAGTACCGACCCGCTTTGCAATTAATGTACGAAAGCATTAAGTTACCAATTAATTGCAAATGGATTTCACTCAAAGAGCTTTATAATTGATGCTTGTAGAGCGCAAGTGAACGCCGATAAAACTCGTGAATTCTCACGTGATCTCGCCTCTCATCAATCGACGTTATTATGGACATTATGAAAGTGGAAATTTTGCGATTCGTGCAGGCGCATATTTTTCTCGAGTTCGTAAAAACTGATTTGATTTTAAAGCATCTTTATGCGCATAATTTCGGAAAAAAGATGCCCCATAAATCACGCGCTCGGTATCAAACTTCGCTCGTCCCGTCTTATTCATCTCTTAGACGGGAACAAAATCGAACCGTGCGCGCTCGCGTCTCTAGAAAGAAAATTGCAATCTCGGGTTTTATAAGATGCAGGATATAAAATGCCTTCGATATTTTGCGATTCTCGATAAAGTCAATCTTCTTGTACATAATTCCCGCGGCCAATTACATAAAGAAAAAGAAAGAAATTGCAGGCTGTCCTTCTGAAGGTATAAAATTCATTTTCCATCCGTATATATTCTTCATAAAGATTTGATTTTAAATATATTCTAACACATAGCAATAAATTTATGATTTACCGTCTAACGTATTTAATATTTCACGTAAAATAAGATATCCCGTTTCCATGAATAGATGTTCAAATGCAATTATTAACGTAATGAAATATTTATTAATTTATTATTAACATTATTAATGAAACAGCAGCATTTTTAAGATCGATCAATTTTGCTATCTCAGAATTGTAAACTCCTTTCATCCCTTTTTTTTTTGCAATGAACATTAACGTAAGTATCGCTTTTTTTCTCATTTTAACATACAGGTAATTTACTACGGAGAAACCTTCTCTCCAGAAAAGAAATTTCACGAGGAATTTACGCTTGTGGAAAGAATAAGCTTGTGGCGCAAAGCCTTCGAACCCTAAAAACTTAGTGGCAATCAATCAACCACGCCCAGCGATTATTAGTGCAATTTTGTGAGGAATAAGAACGAGCGTTTTAATCACAGCTGCATGCCAGGGGATAGCTGTATGCCAAATTACCTTGTGTAATTTGATGTTAATTCTAATTGATATTAATCGAATAAATTCCTTTTACAAACTTCGCACGCTGTATCATCAAGTTTATACAATTCTGTTTTCGAACTTGAGATAGTCAAATAATTTGGGGCCTAACATTTTTTTTAAATAAATCAGATAGCGTGACACAATAATTTGGAGTTTGATAATATTGCGCGCAACAAAAAAAAATCACATTACATATCGATCGCATTATTTTTCTTCACAGTGAAATTGCGCATCGGTATATAACTACGGTTCTTAACATAGCAAACAATTAACGATGACAGGGTATTTTCGGCTTAATTCAAATAACCATCTGCCCTATATACGTTCCGGTACCGGTTACGTCAGGTAATTGCGAACGCCGCTAAATACTCTATTAATTATCTTTGCCAGTCGTGCGACAAATGCGGCGGATTTATTAATAAAAGTTCTCGTGTATATATGAATTTCAAACTGTTTTAACCGCGAGATGAAATTCTCCGCATGATTGCTGTTTTTTTTCATAGTTTTTTTTAGAGAAACATGAGATGTAAAGCGTCTGTTTTTTTTTTGTCTGTTGCAGTGTGCGTACAGTGGCCCGAGGGTAGGTGCTTCCATGACGTGCCGGAGCCGGCACTGCTGAATCTCTACTTCGAGATCCGTGAGAACTGTCACGGCTTCTCCTGAAGGCAACGACCAATCAGGCTACGACATTGATGACAATGACGGGCTTCCGCGCTCCTCGTCTTGTTGCGAGCGCGCGGATCATCATTATCACTTCAGTATCGCGCGAGAGAAACATTCTTGAGATAACGTATTTATTTAAAAGTCTTTCCAACAGCCGCCACACACCACGACCAAGCCAAAAACGAATAGCCACGTATAGCCACATAGATAAAGGACGAGAGTCCTTGGTTTTTTCTTTCTTTTTTTTTCATTCACGTCGATACATTCCGTCCGGAGGAACAGTTCCTATCTCGCGATTTTAGTAGAGACGCGCCGTCGAATGGATAGAGTCGACGGAATGATTCTTCGCGTGAGGATACCGATCTTTTAACAATCGGATCTGTGAATGTAATTCTTGTGCAAAGTTAATCAACTTAATTTGCAGATTATTAAATGTAGCAGATATTTTTTTTTTTTTTTTTTTTATTAAACGATACATTAATTAGTCTTTCAATAAATTTGAATCAGTTAAGCCTCTTAGATAAATAACAATAAATATTATAAACAATATTAATTAATTATTGATAATTAATTATATTTTAAAGAGGCTTTTGTGTGGCGATAGTTTCTAAAAAATGACGGGCTCCGAAAATCTGATTCAATTTCCCGTCGTCTCCGTTCATTCGAGCCGCGTCTCCCGGCGAGAGCGACACGCAACAATGCCTGGTGCTCTCGTGTGTATCGTTTCCGGTGATCGTGATGGATCTTGTGTGACACAGGTCTAACGTTGGCCTTAAATGGGCGCTTGGCAGAATTCTCGCTGAGCGCGCGAAAACGAGATCTCTCGCGTCTCTTTCTTTATAGGGTTCTCGATGATCCCAGCAGAACCAAGGTGGGTGGTCCAGAATATTTATTTACCTACAACTAATTGCTCGTCGTTCAGCCAGCTCGGGATTAAAGACTGTCTCTCCTGTTATATATACATATATATTTTTGTTTATTGTACTTGCCTTTTCTCTATCGTCCAGCAGGAGAGATACAACCATGCTCAGCCATTCCTAAGTTTCTCTTACACAACCAATTTTTCTTTTGTTGTTTCCCTCGAGCCGAAACGAAGTCCTCCTATCTTATCATTCGTCTCTACTTCGCGGTGAGAAAGCTACAAAAAGTAATAACAGCTTTTACTCTTGTGCGGAGGAAAATGCGTTGTGTAAAGCAGAAAAGAGAACAGAAAGAGAGAGAGTCGACATAAAAGTAACTTACAGTAAAATGTCACGTTACGTAAGAAAAATTATGATTAAAAAATGTTAAACGAAAATACCATCATGTAATATTTTTTACATAATTATTTATTGTGATATTGCGGATATTGGAAAGCATTATATTCTTAATAATTCTAATAATTTTCTTATATTCTTAATAATTTCCTATCGAATCGCATTTTCCTCAGCACTGTTTTGTAATGCGCATTGTAAATCCTTTATGTGAAACGGCGAGTTCAGAGCGGAAGCAATTAATCGTTATGAAATCAATCGCGCGAGCTGTAATTTACGATCTTTTGTAGTATGCAACGAAAAGCATGAACTTCAGATTAGCGAGGCGGTCGATTTAAGAATCGACAGACACGATTTCTGGCAAAAACCTGCAAGCATCGCGTTGTTTTGGCATCATAATTTTAAACTTCTCGCAGCGAGACATCGTCGTGAATTAACAAACTTCTGATGCTTTTACCATCGCGCCAAATTTCGACTGCCACTTTTACAAAGGATGGAAATTGAAGATAGGACTTTATTTATTTAAAATATTTCTATTTTATGCTATTTTGCAAGCGAGAAAAAAATTTATACAGGGAAAATATCGTTTTTGTAAAATCAGAATTTAACATCAACGTATTTCTGCCTTTGATTATATATTTACCGTTCCGAATGGTAGTTCCATTATCTAAATATACAACTGTTTCAGTCAAAATGGCAGAATATAACATATCGCAAAATTGTTTTTCTGCTTTTTTTTTTTTAATAGAATATATTGATTTGCTATATTTTGCTCATACTTTGGTACAAATATATGTGGAAATGTTTCGTAAAGTCAAATGGCAGGTAAATTACGCGATAATTTTAACTAACTTATATGTATTTAGATTTAACGAAACGAATACAGGGTAATAGATTATTAAGGATAAATAAGCTTTTTTTATATACAAATTTCTAATCACAAATTTCGAAATTGGAAAGGGAAATTTCCACTTTTTATCTATTTAATTCACTTACATATCTTCGTGAAATTTAATGATTTTGTCGTCGATTGTCAAAATAACAAGTATATTTTTAGAACGTAAGTAGGTTATCGTGCCAAAAAACACAGGGTATTAATTGTGGTGATTAAGTGATCGTTTTAGATATTTCGTAATTAATTAGTAGATGACATGTACATTTTTATGTAGGACAGAAGAGGTATAGCTGCGTTTTTTAAATGCCGATTAGACGAAATGTAGCATCAAGCTCGTGGTTCTGCAAGTGGTTCTAACTCACCTATACCAGTCGCGTTCGTTCCGCAGTCTATTTTTATACAATGTGATTTTTACAGTTGGCGAGTAATCGCTCGTAGCCGAGCTTAATGTTAAAACGCACTTGCAGAATCCACGAGAACGTAGAACAGTATTACGCAACCGCATGACTGTACTCTATTACAGGGTTAAACCGACATTCCAAAGAGCGTGACATCGATTACTCGCCAGGCGAGTAAACTGGGGTAATTCGCTATAAAATAACCGTATATAAATGACGTGTTCGTGATTTATTCCGCCTTTACCGATCCATTGATCAATCGTGTGCCATAAATACTCCATTTTACAAACGTAGAAAGTAGGCTTACTCAGATACAATTTTTTATAGATTAAGACACGATGTTAGTTGCGTAGCGATTAGACTACATAGTTGATCGTCAAGTAAGTGTTTGTGTGTGGACGATTAAGTGTTCTACGAAAAATGGGCATGAAAGTATTTATAGATTATAACAGAATATTAGAATTCAGAAGTCGGACGAGGAAAATGATGAAATGAAAATATATGGATAAATTAAGCGAGAACATATAAAACAAAAACGTGTAAAGAGGAAATAGTTATTTTCTACAAGACCAGCATTTATAAATTTTGTACATGAACAGACATTAATATTTCTCGTTGAATATTAACAATATTTCAGTTTTGCACCAAAGTTCGATGGAAGTTTGTTTTTGTGGAAAAATTGAAAATTCGTTTGAAGAATATTAATTTTTGAAAAATTTCTAACACGCGCATGTAAATAAAATATGACGTGTAGTGTATATATATATATATAGTGTGTGTGTGTGTATGCTCGCTTTTTCTTTTACATAATTAATTTCAGCGCGTTTTAAAAAAATTATTTTTGCTTTCATGTAGTAAAAATGAATTTAATTGTGTAAAATGGAATTTATTAATGTCACGAGATGACAAACTGTATTATCGAGGCTTGGAGCAAAACAAGCATTAACGAAGCAAATCGTTAATCGATACAAGGGTAACTTGTTCTTCGCTGGTCGTCGAAACAAATCTACGCGACACACAAGCGGACCGATTTGTCACATCTCAATCAATAAAGAAGAATTTTTACTTTCTATACATCGACGAGTCAATCGAAAACCGATTCTCACGATTGCACGTTCATGCATGTATCTATAATTTATCGGAGAAAAACAGAGAATTGACAGATACGAGAATCATTTTAAAACTTTTCAAAGATTATGTAAAATGACATGAATTTTTTATATTGAAAATTATATAACTCATTGACAATCTCATATAAAAATAATCAACTTGAAATTATCAAATAATCTCATTTAATTATCACAAAATTAATTAGCAGAATTAATGGATTTTTAAGAAATAGTTTGGGAAGAAATGAAAGAAAGAATGGCAGGCAAAGCAAACGCGATTTTATCATTATGACTATATCTGCCTCTTCTCTAATTCTCTCTTTCTATTAATTATGCAATCGCTCCGTTCATTTCGCATACTTTTCGGTCGTCTTACGGAAATGTTCCGTCGCTGAACTTTCCGCTATAAGTAGTCGAGATATTTTCGTCGAACGCGCTCTATTCTCCGTCTATTCATCAAATCGTCGTTCGGTACTTTCTGCGAATCTGATTTCAAAGTCATAATCGCGAAAGTATTTTAGTCGCATGCTTTACCCTTTTACTCTGAGAGCAATCCACGCGTTAGCCGTGTTAAGAAAAAGATTCTCTTTTCTCTCTTACCTCGAAATTCTCTTACGAGTGACGTTCAAGCGTACAACCTCAAGCCGACAGTTTAGCGATGGGATAACGAAAAAGAAACGCAGAAGAGAAAGAGTTCTCACCGTCTGAGGAAAGATCCGGAAGTCGAGGTCCTTCCTCTCTTCCTGAACCGTTCACCTCTCTGTCTTTTCATCTATTCCAACCTCGCACTTCTAGCGACGATATTACTACTCTGCTTCGTAGTTCTCGAAGCACATTCCGCGTCTCCTAACAATTTTCATTCCATTTCATATCGCTTCCCTAGGTTCTTTCTCCTTTACTCCTATCTCCTTCCTTCCTGTTGCCCTGATTCGTTCCTTCGTCCAATTTTCTTTCGTGTCAGAATTCTTTCACTTCAGATCGCGCTGTCGCGGTCGCGTCAGAGACGCGGAGGGGAAATTGATATTACTGTCGGGAGAGAAAAAGATTTGCCTCTCTCGACGTGCAAGATTTTATTGCCTTCACGACGCGGCGTCTGATGTTCATTATGCGTGAACTTGAAGACAAATCGCTTAATTCAAAGTTTGTATCACTGACTCGACAAAGACAGCTTGAAATTGCGCGTAAATGTTATTGATTCTCGAAAACTTATTGTATGCCGACGACGATTTGGATGATGCATGCTGTAGGCTTTTTATTTTGAGATTACGCTTACGTTATTTGAATACACGACAATGATTTACGGAGCGTTAAAAAAAAAAATACGTAAGTCACGCAGGACTTTTCGCTCGTAAAAGCAAAAATAGAAAATAGACTCGAGCTAAAAATTTTACCAAGATTTTCGGAATGCCCAAAATGCAATTATTTTAGTAAAAATAAGTTAAATACTCTAGAAAATATATACGTACGCCTCGACTTTTACGGATATCCATCTTTCACGGAAACGCTATAAAACATTATCGCGAGTGCTTTTGCGACTGAAATGTTCTGTGACACTTCAACGGTACAAAAGAACCAGGATGGCAGGACATCAGGAAGAAAGCAACCGAACAGCTGTTTGTGTCGCAATACGAAAGGCCAAAGAGGACTTTTACGGAAGAACGATGCTATCACAAGAAAAGGACTGCCAGAGATAGACTGAAGATACGAGCGATAATCGAATGAGAAGTCCAAGAATGCGATGGTTTCCGAAAGGTACGGCTCCTTTTCTACAAAAAGCAAAAAAAAAATGAACAAAAAAATTTTTTAAAGCAGGAGCAAGTAGCAAGTAACAACGATGAGATGTAGGCACGGAATGTGCAAGGATTGCAAAATGCATAGAGTCTGCGACGCATCCGATGAGATGAATTATCCGCTTGGACGCGCTTCTTTTCTCAGCCCTGCGTCTCCGTTCCATCTTCGTTCTTTACGAGAAAGAAGAAGGAAAAGTCTGTCTTGATTACATCAAATTGACGTATTAGCGGATTTTTCTGTGTTACGTAAAAACGTAACACTGAGAAATACAGATCGAATTCTTTAGAAAAGGAAGAGATAGAAATAATGTGTATTATTGAAATTAGACGAATGGGAAGAGGAAGATGTTTGCAACATGCGAAATTAATCTCTGTCAAATCTTGAACGCAAACGCTAGGTGTCGGAGGAAAAGAGGCGCCCCCGAGTGTCTCCGAGAAATGAAACGAAAGTCTCGCCTGGTAGCTTTTAATCTTTAGGGCTCTATCTGTCCAGTGGTAAAAGCATGAGGTATTTACGTTACGTACATAATAATTCCGTATGATTGACTTGCGAGAGTATGTCGTATATAATGATCATTAACAATCCTCTTTTGGCACACACTTTTTTGGTCGCTTCACAGTCTCGTATCGCCAGACCGCCTTAAAAAAAAAAAAAAAAAAAAAAAAAAATCTCGTGTCTCCGAAATGCAGATTAATTGATTAATCCATCCCCGATCCCCGGCGTCGTCGCCGCGCTTTGTTTTGCGTGTATGTTCTCTCTATATACGTATTTATACTGATTCACTCACACCGCCAGTTCGATTAATCGGGACACACCGTCGACTCGTCTCTCCCTCCACTTAATATAGTTTCCCTCCCTCATTCCTCCCTCGTTCAAGTCCCTGCGAGTCCTCCTCGAGCCCTAATTCCACGAACACCAAACGCACTCGACGTCGATTAACGTTAACCTCGGTTAACTGCGAGACGACTCCCCTTCACGTTCACGACTATATGACCATAGCGCGAACGGAAGATGGGAGGAATCACTAACGAGGATCAGTTAATCGAATTATCTGATCGAGTCCGCTGCCGAGTCCGAACCCAGCTCTACATGTCCCTCCTAGTCTTCCCTTTTACATATCCCTCCCCATCGTCGATTTAACCCGCCTTTCGTATACCTCATACGTATATATATACATACATTATATATATAGATATTTTTTTTAAATTGTTACTATTACATATAATAATCACGGTAATGCGCCACATTCACTGGTTGATGACTGTCTCGTTGACATAAAGGCCCGTATCTTGCCTGTGGTTGTGCTTGGTTGTGGTTGGAGCGGTTTTGGGAGAGAATTTTTTACTTGCTTCTTTTTTAATATTATTACCTTTTTTAATTTGCACGTCTCATGTCGTGGCCTTGGCTTGCCTTCATATGAGATTCACCTGTGAATATATATATATATACATTACATATATATATTGATATATATATTTATACCGATATGCGATATGTATCCGCGTGTATATACACAGAAACGTTTTTTCACAGAAACGTCACAGAAGCGCTATATGCACGCGGACACATATTTATTATATTGTAATTTCACACGTATGATAATCCGTCCTGGCAGTATCGTACGATTAACAACATATGTGCACTCATAACGTATACATTACAAAGCTGCGAAGTAGTTTGTGAAAGCGACTTTCAGTATCGTGTTTTTTTACTTTTTTTCCTTTCACTTTGTCTCCGTTTCTTCTCTTTCTTCTTTCCTTCTTTCTTTCTTTCTTTCTTTGTCTTTCTCGTGCGTTCTTTTGTCTCTTTTTTCACATATCGTTTAAATCAGGATGCATATTGCACAAGCTAACGAGTATCTCCGCGAGGATGACAAAAATAATGAGCAAGAACAAACGCAACAGACACGAGAAAGCATGTTCATCTCACTTGTTTTGTTTTCTTTTTCTCTTTCGATGCAATTTCTTTTCGATATTTTTTTCCTTTCCCTTTTCTTTTTGTTAGTTCTCTGTCACTACTTCACGTACGGGCTGCCATGGCGGCACAGTCTGTAATACTTATTACTCTTCTTACTATGATTATTATTATTATTTTTGGAACTGTTTATTAATTGTCATTGATTAATGTTAATGGATCGTGGCACGGTGTGTTAGTTGGCGAGAGACATGACAAATAATTTTTTGAACGGGCGAAGGTTGCTGCATGCTCGAACAAATGCCGCCTTTGACTTAGTGGTAACTAATTAATTCTGGTATACCGTATCCTTCGTTTAATTAATCGCCGATCGTGTCGGCCACGTCGCTCGCCATTTCTTTCTTTCGCGAGTGAATCCGATAATCGTGTACCGCGGTACCGCGAAATTTTCGGCAGACAACGTCTCGTTAAAGAGTATAATCGCACATCATACGAAAGAATCGTGCGAGTGTCGTTGTCGTCGACATTATTTCAGCAGGCACATAAGTATATAATATGCTGGACGTTTCTGAACGATCGTATTTTCTTCACAGATTTTATGTTATTTTATGACATAACGTGATTGATATTTTTCAAAATCAAAATTTTTAAGTCAATTATAAAAATCATTGTTCTTTTATTAGTTACAAAAAGTCATGTTGACGAAAAAATTTTTAATAATTTAATATTTTTCATTGAAAATAATTTCATATTTTTTTAAGGTGTATATAAACAAATCCATTTATTTTCCAAATTAAACTTCTAAATTGTACGAAGGATTAAAATTGAAATTTTGTATTTTTAATCCAAATCTTTCGATTCTTTTCCATTGAAAATTATTATCTCTGTTACGACTCTTTTTAATCACGTCCTGTTTGCCAATAAAAAAAGGCGACAGCATTGTTCAGAAACAGCCCTATCGTATACACAATGTTCACCTTTCTTACTGATTGTTTAGCCTGGCATCCACTAATTAGTCGTCAGTGCGTAGCCTTAATTAGTTACCTCTGAGCGTGCAAGCACCGCCAGCAGTTTTAGTAGTGGGCCGCAAGCGGGAGTGCGCTTTGTTTTTTGGAAAAAGAAAGCTCGGCAAGAAGAGTTGAACGACTCCGTCGTCGTTCTCGAGAAAAATAGAGAAGATCCGATTTAGTCAATCTCGTGTTCTCGATACTCGTGGCCGTAAAATGCCCCACGTGGTCAGGGATGGGGGTGAAAAGGGCTCTTTTATCGACTAACTAAATTATTATTAAGCCACTGTAGTTACACGCGAATAACCACTACAGTTAGTTATCTCAGGCTCTCGCGGATGTCGATCAACGTCGAGACGTTTCTGTTGTTTTCTCGTAATAACGCACGCGTTTTTCGACGTGAGTGGATCCAGTGGTTCTCATACTTTGAGCTTTTATCGCTACTCGATGCGGAAAATATACATGACGAGAAATACCATCTTTCGCGCAGTTAAATTTTATTGAATCGTCGCCAATCCTTACCTTCGACAATCATCGACGAATCGTTGGAGCTTAACGTTCCCCATGGCTGTCTCTCTGATAGCGCGGAATAATAGCGCCGCATTACGATCACAATGTTAGGAATAATAAAAAAATAGTAGCCTAATGGAATAAAATGATTTCGATAGAAAATCTCATTTTGCATTTATGCTTGTCACTAAGAAATTATATAAATTATGTCGCGGAATAAATTAATATTATTAGTATTATTAATAATATTAATAATTGAATTTCTTTCTCATTTAACGAGAAGAATATTTTATATAGTAAATACTTCCATAATTTTGTTCTGTAATTCTAATACTTTATAATTAGATATTTTATAATTATGTATTCTATATAATTAATATTTAATACATAATAATATATAATGTTAATATTGCTTTAATATGCTTGACGTGTTTAAAATATCTTTTTATCAAGCATATTTCAATACTGAGTTTTGCAAAATTAATAAATTTCATTTTTTGTCATTAATTAATTGAAATAAGCGCAGTTTGAGAACCACTAACGTGTGCAATTATTAAAGAAAAACTATCGGTTTATTCTTCGAGAACTATCGTCGCAACTTAAATCTTCCGATAGTAATTGTTCGCAAAAACTTTCGAAGAAAGTAAAATCTCTCGGGCACGGTGATTTTAGATAGCCGGATTAGTTTTGTCGGTATTCGGTCACTACGGGGTGATTCGATAGAAAGAAAACATATTACGTCGCGTCGTTGGAGTCGTTATCGAAGTCACGAAAACACATCGAAAACGCATCTATTCCGTATCGGCATTGGGAACAGTGTTGAATTATGATCGTGTCCCGTAGATAGCGATTTCTTTGCGAGATGTGAAAGTAGAAGAGCTCACGTTTATACATATATATATATATATATATATATATCTATATATACATATATATACTAATCTCTGCATCTCCTTTTTTGGCGTATATTACTCACTCACACCATTTGCTCGGAAGTATCTTTGAATGGCTTTCGTTCGGAGACCGTAATCGTTATTGTTATACTTCTGGAACGAATAATATCTCTTAGTGCATGGAATCATATATTTCAAGCGAGATCGGCACATGAGTCGAGGCCGATTGGAGCCTTGCGATCGAGTCTATCTGTGTAGCAAGAAACACGTATATTGTACCTGCATACCTCGATGCGAGAATGCGCCTTCATCCACCGCTTCAGGAACTTTGGTTGCCTCCGTCGCGGAGGCAACGATTTTCATTGCAAGCCTTGGGATATGGCGAAGGAACTTTTTGACCCTCAGGAGAGAGAGACCCTTCGCCTGTGTGCGAGCTCGGATCGATAACGCGCGAGAGAGAAAGCAAAACGCGGAAGATTTTAAGCTATCGGAATTGTAAAACTCGTGGAATTAGAACGAACTTTTTCTTCGTTTCGAACGTCGAATTGCCGATCGGGGATTTCTCGAGTCCTTGTTTACCGGGATAATTGATAGCTTCGTTGTGATAACGTAGAGGCAATTGTGTAACTTTCGACCTTTTTCTTTGTTTTTCTTTTTTTTCTTTTTTTTTTTTTTTTGACAGATATGCTTCGGAATACGCGGGATAATGCAAGAATAGCTGCATTTAGCAAAAAAAAGTAGCTTCGTACTGTTATAAAATTCTTTAATATGATTGGTTTTGCTGTTAGTTTCTTATTGGATTTAAATGTATAAACCAATCATACTAAAAAAAAGTCACAACAATTGTAAAGCTGCTTTTTCTGCTGAACGCAGCCATTGATTTTATCACAAAAGCATAGTTTCACTTTATCTTCGTGGCTTTCGTAAAACTAAACGCCGCAAATTAATTCTAATTTCGCGTGACGTAGAATCTCGTTTTGGAACCTAGATTTAGAATCTTTGGTAAACGCTGGTTTCGTTGGTTACTCTACGTTCTAGTACGTCCCGGACGACGAAAGGGGTGAATGTAACGGGTGTCTCGGACACACCGAAGGTTTGTCGTGCGCTCTCAACGGGTCGCGGTAGTCCTGTTTGCTAACGTCATTAGTCCTGTGAGCGTTGATTTGAATTCCAAGTAATTTGCCAAGAGAAGTACGTTATGTAAACACCACACCTTAATCACTGTTGCTTTACTCGTTGGGTTATGCGACTGTGGTTCTAGTGCATTTGACTGACTTTTCAGCCTGCCACGGCTGCATTCACACCTGTTTCCGTGTATGTTCTTACTTCTGTTTCTTTCACGTTCTATTATTCACTTCGTCCATTTCGTACCTCTCCTTTTCCTCTTCTTTCTCCGCCGGATACGTCAATACCTCCATCTCCGTTCTCTTTCCCCAAACGTTAACATTTCTACGAGAAAGACGTAAAGTCGGTCTTCACCTTGCCACCATCTTTCGTGACCGGTCATTTTTCAGAATTCGTTAACTTATTGGCAGATTTATTTGTGAAACGCTTAACGTGACGTACGCTTTAATATCCGCCGCTATTCTTCTTCCCGAATTTAATAAACTTCACGAGAGAGATCATTACGTCGACGATATTTCTTTGGTTCAATAACGATGTTTATTATTCACGAAACAATTGTTACGTGTATTGTAACAATCGTATTACATGCACGTAACAATGTATTGAAAATCGATGATTTAACGCGAATGTATTTCTATGGTTATTAAAACTTTGTGAAAATTGCAAACTTTTATATGAGACATAAATTAATACTTTAACATTTGTTTCATTTATATTATTGGATTCACTTTCCTTTTAATTTCATTTTATCATATAATATCTTCTTTTACAAATATATTATTTACGAACGAAAACTCCTTTCGAGGCATTGTTTTAAAAGCACTCGATACAATGGAGCTTCGTAATTTCCCGAATGAAACGAGCAAAACGAATCATCAACTTAGACAATTCAAACATCTTAATCTTCGCGAAACGATCTAGAGCGCACAGAGAAGATCTTCGATCTTGATTCTCGCATCGCCCACTTTGTAAAGTTAATGCGGCTTAATTACGTCTTAAGTACTCGTGATTTACGACTCAAACGCGCTACGTAGAAAAGGCGAGCGAGTTGATTCAATTGCTCACCTCACACGCTAGTGAGCCTGTCACTTTCAGAGATGTCGAATAATCTCAAACACCGAATTCTCGACCTGTTCCCTGCTTAATTTTATATAAAATCCAGTAGTCCATTCCTTCGCATAATTTATTTACGTCGTTTCAAATTAACGAGATCAAAATGTCGATCTTTATTCTTCATCTCTCTCTCTTTTTTTTTTTGAAGCACATTAAAATTTAGAGTAGAATTTAACGTAAGAAAGTGGTAGACCCATAATTTGTACACTGAAAAAAATTTGTTTAATTTAAGTAATATTTTTTTGAATAATACTAAATAAACATTTCTACAGATAAATATTTATTTGCAATAAAAAAATGTTTACGTAGTACTTTATTTAAGAAAATATTACTTTAGATTTAGAGAATTATTTTTTTTCAGTGTTAATGTAAGGTCTTATATACCATTTTCGATACAACTGCGCGTTTAAAGAGTAGATCTTACGAATAATGAGCTCGTCCCTCGTTTTCGCAGCAGACCTTTCAATTTCTCACCGTATCGGCGCAAAAATGGACTCCCTCTCACCGTCCCTTAGCGAGAAAATCAATCGAGCATCGCGCGGCTCTTTCTCACGGCGACACCGTTTTCCTAAATGCAGATATAATACCGCGCAAACGTTTTCGGCCGTCGTGTCTGTCCTTTCTAAGCCATCGTTGCCGGTGGCTCTCTCGCGAGGCGATTGAGTACAGCTTCGCTCGGGAATACATAGGTAAACTCGTATTCCCTTTTTCTCTCGTTGTATCGACTAGCGAGTTGTACCTCGCGAGCGATGGAAAGAGCTTCGAGGCGCGCCGTGCAAAAGTGCGCAAGAGAGGGAGGAAGGGACGGGAAGGAAGAGGGCGATAGAGGATGGACAGAGAAGGAGATAGAAAGGGAGCGAGAGGGAGACGACACGTGGGAGAGACGTGGGTCCAGGGGTGGATGCTGGCAGCGGCATTTATTGATCGCTCGTAGCAACCCTGCTAGCAACCCTCACCGCACCCTCCGGCCGCCCTCTCGTG